CCCCCCCCCCCCCCCCCCTCTCTTCCCCCCTTCCTCTTTGTCTTGGTTTTGTGGGGAGATTGCGGGATGAGATAGTTTGTGAGTTGTGCTAACTGGCGGTGGCGTTGATGAATGTATAGGAAATTGACGACTTGGTTGAGGACTGGGCTCCGGAACCTCTTGTTACGCCTCCTTCGCCGCGGGATGAGGCGGAAGTCGAGAAACGGGTTGTGCTTGCTGGGTATGTTGTATTTTTTTCTTTTTTAAAAAAAACAACAAAAACAAAAACATCTTTATTTCTTTCACTCAAAAAGCCCAGGAAATGATATAATTCTTCTTCGCCTACCTATCTTACCTAACAATTTTTCTCCATTTCAAAACAATAGACCAACGGGCCCGAAATCAAAACTCACCAACGGCCGCACCGTGATCAACCTCGCATCCTCCAACTTCTACAACTTTGTCGCGAATGAGAACCTCAAGGAGAAAGCCATCCAGACTCTCCGCACATACGGCGTCGGCCCCTGCGGACCACCGGGTTTCTACGGGACTCAGGACGTGCACATACGTACTGAGGCAGACATTGCAGCCTCCCTCGGCGTGCCTGCCTGTATTGTTTATGCGCAAGCGTTCTCCACGATATCTAGTGTTATCCCATCGTTCTCTAAGCGTGGTGATATCATTGTTGTGGATAAAGGTGTTAATTATGCGATTCGGAAGGGCATACAGATCTCGCGGAGCGCGGTGCGCTGGTATGAGCATAATGATATGGAGGATTTGGAACGGGTGTTGAGCAAGATTACGAAGGAACAGGCGAAGAAGCCGTTAACAAGGCGATTTATTATTACTGAGGCGCTGTTTGAGAGTAGAGGAGATATGGTGGATTTGCCGGCCATTGTTCGTATCTCTTTACTTTTTCTTGTCCCCTGGTGTGCCGTTGTGAAGGGAAGTATGAGTAAACGCTAACTTTCTGTCGCGTTCCTACCCCCGTTCGTTTTTCTTTTCTTCATAGATTGAACTCAAACTCCGCTACAAATTCCGATTAATTCTTGACGAGACATGCTCGTTCGGCGTCCTGGGTCGCACCGGCCGCGGAATCACAGAACACCAAAACGTCGATGCGACGGAAGTCGACATGATCGTCGGCTCACTAGCCGGTCCCCTTATTGCAGGAGGAGGCTTCTGCGCTGGGTCAGAGGAGATTGTCCACCACCAACGCATCTCCGCCACTGCGTACTGCTACTCTGCCGCGCTTCCCGCCTTGCTGGCCACGACGGCTAGTGAAACCATAATCCTCTTGCAGAATAGCCCCGACCTTATCACGCAGCTGCGGGAGAATATTAAGGCGATGTGGCTGCAACTAGACCCCCGGAGTGACTATGTCTACTGCTCATCCGCGCCGGAGAATCCCGTTATGCACCTCGTGCTGAAGCAGAGTGTTGTTGTGGCGAAGAAGCTGTCGGTTGAAGATCAGGTGGCCTTAATGCAGGATATTGTTGACGAGGTATAGTTTTACTTGTTCTTCTTTATCATTCCTCTCTGCTTTGTTTTGTTTCGTCTGCTTTTGTCATTTGCCTCCTTTCACTCCCAGGACTTTTCGTTTCTACTTATTCTTCTTTCTTCCCCCCCGGCTCCTCTTGAGGGAAAAGATGGCGGGGGTGGCGGGGATGAGACTGGCGCAGATATACGTGTGAGCTGGGTTTGCCGAAATCTCTCAAGAGCGTAAGTTGAGTGAATCTTCCTGTGGTGGAGTGGGTGATGTCCGTGCTGACTGCTTCTGTACTATGTGAGCCTTGATCGTAATCATTTTGGATGGGTTTCGGTCATGTGATCTTCTTTCTGGACTGACACGTAGTTCCGGCTCAGAAGTATGTAATGATAAAGCGTACTCCATATTCCACTAT